TCGAACCAATGCCCTGTTTGCGTTAAAACCGAGCCCAGAACCAGTCAACTATGTGTGCTAATCGATAAACCATCACACACTTAATAAAAATAAAACAATTCTCACAACCTTTATTAAAAAACAAGTAATATAACGTCCTATTACTTTTATGTGTGTTAAACAGAATCGATCTTCTTCGTCGATGTGGAGCTTCCACAAATACAAGTTTTTGGCATTCCTCTAAATCCTTCAGGAACACAAGATCTCATGCTTACACTATACCCTACAAATTGACATTGGAATTATAACTAAACCCTAGACCCAAAATCGAATTCACTTTACAATAGAAGATTTGGGCATACCTGAATTCGCGGAAGAAGCCATTTGACTCGAAGATGACGCAATTCTCTTCTGTCTTCTTCTACACCACTAAATCCTAGTTGAGAGTTTTTTCCCAATTTTGAATAGACATCGACAAAGAAGAGGAAGAAGAAGATCGATTCTTCTTAAAGACACATAAAAGTAATACGACGTAGTATTACTTGTTTTTCTTAGTAAGGGTTGTGAGAATTGTTTTATATTTATTAAGTGTACGATGGTTTATCGATTAGCACACATAGTCTACTGGTTCTGGGCTCAGTTTTAATGCAAATAGGGCATAGGTTCGAATCCCCGTGTTTGCATATGAGTCAGCCTCCGTTAACAGAATAACAGGGTTGACTATAACAGGAAATTAGTCAAGGCATGAATTGGCCAAACAAATTGAAGTACAGGTATGAAAATTCAAATTTTTAAACGTTGAGGTACGTGTAGGCGCAACTCAAAAGTACATATAGCAAATGGTACCAGTTCGGCCAGTTGAGACATGAATATACCGCTTTTCTGATATGCATTATTTTGGCACTATTTTAGTGTATCTTTGGTACAACACCCTTTTTCTTTTCTTAATTTCCACCATTATTCTTGAAGAGCACCAAAACTCAAATTTCTAAAAACTTATGAAAACCTAAGAGATCAAGCATATTTGACATTCCTTTTTGAATAATTTAGAAAAATTATTGATCTTCTACGACCATACAACTTTAGGCATTTATTGATCTATTCGTCAGTAATTGGTCAAATGCAGCCATATTGGTTGTTCACTTTCAATCTGGATTATTGGACTTCTGTTGTCTGGCCACAATAAATTTGCAAGATCAAACGCAAAAGCTCGAAACATAAAATCCGCATTTCAAATATATATTAATACAAATATATCAAATTCTAGCTTTTTATTAATTGTTACGAAAAACTAATCCAATATTTTTTGGTAAAGAGCTGAAATTTTTTTGGTAAAAGCTTAACCACGATGAACCATCAATAACAATTTTTTAAACTGGTTCGGTTTGGTGTAAAATGTGATAGATAGTACCGTACAATTCAAAGTATTTTCTTCGAACTTAAGTCTTGTTAACTAATACAAAACTCGACAGATAATGGGCCTAATAAGCCCAAATCTATCAGAAAGCACCGATATATTCCACGTTAGATACATGACCACGTGGCCTCATATTATTGGAGGTAATCTCCACCATATGAAAAAAACGCTCACGTGCGATCACCAGCTTCGTCTCCATTTCTATTTTATTTTTAAAAGATAATTCATAAATACTGTATAAAAAAAAAACACAAATTAAACAAAATAAAAAAGAAATCTCTATCTTCTTCTCCTCTCATCCTCTCTCTCAGGACCTCCTCCAATGGCGAGAGTTCTGGTCTCGTCTCCATCTTCGTTCTTCGGCTCGCCTCTGACCAAACCGTCGTCGTCTTCCCGCCACGGTGGTAGCGTTCAGTTTCTACCGTACCGGAGTAATAATAAGCTCTTCAGTAACTCGACTACTGTACGGTTCAGCTTGAACGAGATTCCTCCTCTCCATGGCTTAGACTCATCGGTTGACATCGGGGCGATTTTCACCAGAGCGGAGTCTCTCTTCTACACCATAGCCGACGCCGCCGTCGTTGGCGCTGATTCAGCTGCCGCACCAGCTGATTCCGCCGTGCAGAAGAGTGGTGGTTGGTTCGGTTTCATCTCCGATGGCATGGAATTGGTGCTTAAGGTAAATTTAAGCAGCTGATTCCGATCTCTGTGTGTATAATTAGAGGTTTTGGTTAGTCTCGTGAGCGAGCTTAAGCTTCTTCTTATTTGGATTATAGTTTTTGAAAGATGGACTTACGGCAGTTCATGTGCCTTACGCTTATGGGTTTGCGATTATCTTGCTTACGATTATCGTCAAAGCAGCGACCTACCCTTTGACAAAGCAACAGGTTTGTAGAATTTGCATTTTTGAAAGTTATGGCAATTTTGAGAGCAGTTTGTTCAAAAGATTATGTTTTTGCTTTGGATTTTGCATTTCTGTAGGTTGAATCAACGCTTGCTATGCAAAATCTTCAACCAAAAATTAAAGCCATTCAACAACGTTACGCAGGAAATCAGGTGAACATTTTGTGGCTGGAAAATGAATTACCTTGGTTAATTGAGTCTTGACTTTTTTTTTCCCCGATATTTAGGAGAGAATACAACTAGAGACGTCACGCTTGTATAAACAAGCTGGTGTAAATCCATTGGCAGGTAATTTTCAAGAAGTAATGCTTTTTGTTTAAGTACTAGTTATGGTTCTATATACAAGTGTGTTTATTATATACAAATATCTTTGTTGTTTTTGATGTTAGGTTGCTTACCAACTTTAGCCACTATACCAGTTTGGATTGGTTTATACCAAGCTCTCTCCAACGTGGCCAACGAGGTACAAGATATGCCTTATGTCTTCTTTTTTTAACTGCTTGTTTTCGCTAAGGACCAACGAAGTTAGTTGGTAAGATTGTTGCTCAAAACGTTTCTTTTTCTTGCAGGGGCTTTTTACAGAAGGTTTCTTTTGGATTCCTTCTCTTGGTGGACCAACAAGTATAGCTGCTCGGCAGAGTGGATCCGGCGTATCTTGGCTTTTCCCATTTGTGGTAATGAGAGGAAGAAAAGAAGCCATGAACTGATCTTTTGTGTGTAATGAGCTTTATCATATTGGTGTCTAATGTCTTTTTGGGTCGTGCAGGACGGGCATCCACCATTGGGCTGGTCTGACACCGCTGCGTATCTTGTTTTACCTGTTCTCCTTATCGTCTCTCAGTATGTGTCAATGGAGATTATGAAGCCTCCTCAAGTGAGATATTAAAAAAAGGCTAATTTTGTTTTTCTTTCACTAAAACGCTTTGATCTGATTGTCAAAAGTTCTAAGCTCAATATTTCATTTCTTTTGGCAGACAGACGATCCTGCACAGAAGAACACACTTCTTGTTTTCAAGTTTCTTCCACTCATGATCGGCTACTTTGCATTGTCTGTCCCATCAGGATTATCTATCTACTGGTTAGTTTCTCTCACCTTGAAACATTCATCTAATCAGTTAAGATATGTATGGGAACACGTTAAGTATAAAATAACCTAGATTTGATCATTCCACGAAGCTTGTTGTTGGATTAACAAACACATCTCAGTGAATTTCACGACAGTATACTTGATACCAGTAATTCTATATAAGTAGGGTTTAGTCTTTTTTATCCCCCTTGTTATTATGTTGCTTGCTTATATATAAACCATATCATGGTTTTAGGTTCACAAATAATGTACTTAGTACCGCACAACAAGTATGGCTCCGTAAACTAGGCGGTGCAGCGCCTGCAGTAAATGAAAACGCAAGCGGAATAATAACAGCAGGACGTGCAAAGAGATCTATTGCTCAGCCTTACGATGCTGGTGAAAGGTAAGTTGAATCTCTTTTGAAATTTTCTTATTTGCAAGTTCGTTGTTAAAAGATGTTATATTGGATTACAACAGATTTAGACAGTTAAGAGAGCAAGAGAACCGCAACAAGAAGAACAAGGCGGTCGCGAAAGATTCAGCTGAACCGCTAGAATCTGTGTCTGAATCAGAGGAAGGGTCTGATGATGAGGTAATAATTTTTATGAAACTGAAACTCAAGAATCTAGTGAATAAACAAATGATTATGGTGAATGATTGAATACGTGAAAACTTATTAAAAGCGAGTGGTGGAATAGGAAGAAGAGGTTCGTGAAGGAGCGTTAGCTTCAAGCACAAGCAAACCAATTCCTGAAGTTGGCCAACGAAGAAGCAAAAGATCTAAGAGGAAACGCACTGTATAGAACCAAACAAACAAAAATTGCGAAGGAGGAGAAAGAGAAAGAGAGAGTGAATCGTGTCATCTTTAGTTTGATCTTGATATATTTTGCATATACCAAGTGCCGGAATATCTAAAACGTTTATAAAATTAGGGCAAAAAGAAGGTCATTCTAAACTTAAAAACTGCAGTAGTTGATGAAAGTAAATTGATGTATTTTTATGTGATTCATCTTAGCGTAAATGTCTGTCCTATCACTTTCAAATCTGCACTTAAATTTTGTTAACACTTCTTCGTTGTAAACTTGTAATTTCTATTTTAAAAAAAAACATGTGATATGTACATTTGATAGATGTTTCCTTATGCTTAATTGGCTTATATAATTTGACTATGCAAGAAAACTAAAAGGATCGTCGCTAGGCTTCGAAGTAGAAAGAGTTTCTTGATTTGATCCTATTAGTTGAAGAGCTAGACAGTTGTTCTTGACAATGGAGAACACCTTTGATACTAAAAATACAATTCTCCAAATCATAATACCCAAAAACTATATAAAACGATTACCAATCAAACCCTTCATTTCTAAAACCCACATGCTAAAAGCTTTGCCTAACTACCACAAAAACCTCAAGGGTATTTTCGTCACTCTAAGACCATAACTTTTTCCGCAGCTCTATACATAAACACACGTAGCTAAGTCACATCTTTTAACACAAAAGTGTCCCAAAAGCAACACAAAAAAAATGGCTAAAACCTCTCTTCCTCTCGCCGCCTCCTTCCTCCTCCTCCTCATCTCCTCCGCCGCCGCCGCAGACACCGGCCGTCTCTTCCTCACCGTCGTAAACCACTGTCCCTTCACCGTCTGGCCAGCCATTCAGCCCAACGCTGGCCACCCCGTCCTCGAGAAAGGTGGCTTCGCTCTCCCAACCAACACACACCGCTCCTTCTCCGCTCCAGCCACCCACTGGTCCGGTCGCATCTGGGGCCGAACCGGCTGCTCCCACTACAACGGCAAATTCTCCTGCGTCACCGGAGACTGTGGCCACCGTCTCGAATGCAACGGTCTCGGCGGAGCAACTCCGGCTTCCTTGGCTCAGTTCGATCTCCACCACGGTGCTCACCTAGACTTATCCTCTTACGGCGTCTCTCTCGTCGACGGTTTCAACGTTCCGATGACTGTGACTCCTCACGAAGGCCGTGGTGTCTGTCCCGTCGTTGGCTGCCGTGAAGATCTTTTGAAAACGTGTCCGGCTCATCTTCAGCTCCGGTCAGGACATGGTGGACACGTGGTGGCTTGTAAAAGTGGGTGTGAGGCTTTCCGTACGGATGAGCTGTGTTGTCGAAACCATTACAATAGTCCTCAGACTTGTCGAGCTTCGAGCCATTCTCTGTTCTTTAAGCACGCGTGTCCTTCGACTATGACATTTGCTCATGATAGTCCTTCGCTTATGCATGACTGTTCTTCTCCTAGAGAGCTCAAAGTTATCTTCTGCCACTAAAAATGTCTAGGGTTGTAATCGTAATTTCGTACCGATCTCTCCTTCTTCTCCTTCTGTTTGGTTTAGTTTGGTTTTGATTGGTTTAGTTTGCTATTTCCCGGTTCAGTTATGTAGTTGATCAAATTATGAAATTATGTATTATCATTTGAATTGCTTTTCTATTTAACTCTCTTTTTATCTCGATTCTTCAATGGTTAAAAGTTAAAAATACATAAACTTTGATAGAATAGTTTAAAAACTTGAGATTATAGTGGTAAGTGGTAACGATTAAATTGTTTGGTTCAAGATTAACCATTTTTGATAACTTTTTAAGTGTCGATATTCACGTTTTTTACTCGATATTTTAAAAAGATACATTATTGTTTCATTCGAGGCATGCAGGCTTTGTTGTTTACACCTTTTGTTTTGTGTTGTGTCGGTATGATATTTTCTTTCACGAGTTTCCACGTTATTTTGAAATATGTGGATACGAAATGTAAATCAAACTCGGCCTTGTACATTTCATCAAATATTCGGTGTAAAATAATTATTATTAAGCGAAATTTCAAAAGAAACAAAAAAAACAGGAATTTGAATTGTTCAGTGGCTATTTTGTAGTTGGTGATAAAATTCAGCAAGTAAAACATTATTGCTTTTCTATTTTTTTTCATCAATCACAGCATTATTGTATTTTTCTTTAAACGAAGAAAACATTATTATTGTACATCATAAATCATAAGACTACTTTTGGCATGAAGCAGACTCGATAAAAGAAAAAGGTTGCATTCTCACGTGAAAGATTCTCGTCTCATGACTTTTTTCCATTTGAAATGTGTGTGAGACAGATTTCATAGATCTTCTTTTATTATAAAGTTGGGGCTCCTGAGATATATCCAAACTAATCCTCCAAAAGAGTTGAAAGATTTAGGCTAATATTTTTTAAAAAGATGATACTATTAGACTAACTCAAATTGCCTCAAACTTCGAATAATTCACTTTTACTATAACTATTTCACCTCACGGTCACTAAATCCAAATATCATTTATGTTAAAAACTACATTGACGTTTGTTTAATTTATTGAGTCATCATTTCCGAATATTGATTTACACATGTTTGGAATAACTGCACTAGTTTTAGAAACAATAACTGACGTTTTGATTTAAATAAGAACACCTCCATCAGTGAACTTCAATAAAGGATGTTTAACATTTTTTAAAAAATATTTTGTGTTTTATGAATAGTTAAGAATTTTGTCTTGAAATGATCCTCCATCAATGAATCCCTTTTTGGGGGTTTTAAATTCTCTCCGCAGATAAAAAGAGAGAAATATAGTGGAAATAATTTTGCCAAGGAGAGAGATGATTAAAGGAAAAAAATATTCTGCCCAATTATTTTATACCACGTCATTCTAAGAGCGACTATTAGATCATGTACATTAAAGGTTCATAACAGGGTTTTGGACTAATATCCTAGACAATTTTGTTAAAAAATAAAAGAAAAAATTCAAATATTTGTGATCTGTCTTTAGCTAAGGGGTTTAGACTATGTTTATCCGCGTTTTTAAGCTTATCTCTTACTTATTTTTTAATTAAATTTAATCCATTGAAGCCCGATTGAAGCCCAAATTATGTATATACGTTTCTTATTTCGGGACAATTAAAGACGTCTCTTATAGCCACGTATAGCCGTGTGAGTGGGCAAAAAAATATGAAGAGAACAAATATTTCTCTCGTTTATTTCTCTTGCTCGATAATTTTTTTTTTTTTCCGACTCATCATTGTTGTCTCCGTCAAGGCGATTTCGACGATTCTGCTACTCTGACGGCTTCTCTCCGAGAGTTCGGATTCCTCCGACGGCTTCTGGGACTGAAACATTATTACTCAATTTGAGACCGAAAATGATGAACGTGTATATATGCAGATTTGTCTTGTTATTTACCCTTTGAGGATTTGGGTCAAGAATGTTAAAGATCAGCTTCTTCTGCTCTCTAGTGAATCCATGTGGGAAAGTGTAATCTGCTCTGATGAATTCCGGAGATAAGTTGCCTTTGAATTATGATCAAGTGTTTATAAGAGACTTTGTGCCTTCTGCTTTGGCTTTCTTGCTTAAAGGAGAAGGAGATATCGTCAGGAATTTTCTGCTTCAAACATTACAGCTGCAGGTATATATGAATGTCATCTTAAATTGGAGATTTTTGAATGTAAATGTTCGCAAAGAGTCAGAATCTGAACATTTAAGGAAAGTGTAGTGATTATGTTTCCATTGAGAGATATATTCATATCTCGAGATATAGATATTTTCCTATTTGTGTATATTCTCTTAGATTGTCGTTAGCCTTGTATAAATAGAACCCTAGAAGTCAAGAGTAAATAAGACAGAACATTATTTCACATTGATCGATTTTGTCATGGTATCAGAGCACTAAAAACTCTTGATCTCTTCTCTTCGATCCAATTTTCATTACCCTTAGCAAGCTCGTTTTTCTTGTTCGACTTGTTTTTCCTTTAACCATCCAAATCAACGACAATGATGGTTTCCGCTGCCGCTTCTGGTGACACAAAACGCCGCACCATCTCACCATACGACCTTTCTGCTGGTGACAACCCAGGGGCTGTTATTTCTCGGCCTCTCTTTTCTGGTCAAAACTATGATGAGTGGTCTGCAAGTTTTCGTATGGCCTTGAGTTGTCGGAAGAAATTCGGCTTTGTCGACGGATCCATACCGCTACCTAATAAGGATAACCTTATTTTGAAGATTAGATGGCTAATAACCATCTAATTGTGACTTGGATGAAGCTTACTATTGAAGATCGACTGCGTTATAACATATCTCATCGAGAAATTGCAAAAGATCTATGGGATCTCATCAAGAAACGATTCTCTATCAAAAGTGGTGCGCGCTATCAACAGCTTCGTGCCTCTTTGGCAAATTGTCGTCAGATGGGATCTACTATTGACGATTACTTTGGTCGTCTTACCAAAATTTGGGATGCTATGCAAGAGTGCAACCCGAGCAAAACCTGTGAGTGCAACAAGTGTGAGTGCAACTTGGCTGAAGCAAGAGAAACCGAAATTGACAAAATTCGGGTTCATGATTTTCTGTTTGGGCTTGATGACATTCACGACACTGTTCGACAGCAACTCTGTGCACAGACTCCGACTCTTGATCTTGATTCTGTGTATCAGACACTGGTTCAGAATGAAACGGTGATTGCGAATACTCGGAAAGAACCTGAAGCCATGAGCTTTGCGGCTCACGCGTCTCAACCGGTTCAGCCTTCTCCACCAGCTCAATCGTTTTCACGTCCGAAAGATTTCTCCAACACGATCTGTACCAGTTGCGGTCGCAAAGGACATGAAGCTGCACGGTGCTACCGCACCATCGGATATCCTCCTTGGTGGGGCGATAGACCACGAGGACGACTTGATACTTCTAAAGCCTCTTCGTCTACTGCTCCATCTGCTGGCCCCCGCACGAATACTTCTCAAATTGTTGCAGCTTCGCCCTCCATTCAAGCTAATATTGCTGCTTTAAGTGATGTTGATCGACAAGGTCTGAGTGGATTTACGGATGCACAGTGAGAGACCTTGAAGCGTGTTTTCAAAAATGAGAAAACAGAGCGTCTTAGTGGTAAGAATGAAGCTGATTCATGGATATTAGACACAGGTGCCACTCACCATATGACTGGTCGTATCGACCTCTTTGAGGAATTTCGATCAATTTGCCTTGTGTCTGTTACTTTACCAGCTGGAGATAATGCCTTATCTTACCACCAGGGCACCATCCGTCTCACCTCTTCTTTATTCTTACGCAATGTTTATTTGGTGGACGGTTTTCACACTAATTTGATTTCTTTAGGGCAACTGGTTTCCGATAATCATTGCATCGGTCAGATCACTGATAGACTTGTTGTTTTACAGGACCGCACCACGAGGATGCTGATTGGAGCGGGTGAGCGACATGGCGAGGGACTTTACCACTTCAAAGGGATTGAGACTGTGGGAAGTGTTCAGACGAGCACCGGTACTGATGGAGTTTTGTGGCACCGGCGTTTGGGTCATGCTTCTGCCCGTGTTGTGGGTTTACTACCAGTTTTTAGGAACTCTTCTAATGTTACTAGTTTACATAAGGATTGTGATGTTTGCTTTCGTGCAAAACAGACTCGACATTCGTTTCCGCTTAGTGATTATAAAGCTTTGAGTATTTTTGATTTAATACATTGCGATCTTTGGGGTCTGTATCGCACAACAGCTTTTTGCGGATCACGCTACTTTCTGACTATCGTTGATGATTATTCTCGCGCTATTTGGATATACCTTCTACCAGATAAACGAGACGTAGGCACAACTTTGAAACAGTTATTCTCTTTGGTCTTGCGAAAATTTGGCAAAAGTGTAAAGACTGTTAGAAGCGACAATGGCACTGAGTTTCTAGTTTTGACAAGCTATTTTTGGGACAATGGGGTCATTCATGAAACTTCCTGCGTCTATACTCCGCAGCAAAACGGACGCGTGGAAAGGAAGCACAGGCATATTCTCAATGTTGCCCGCGCTTTACGTTTCCAAGCAAGTCTGCCCATTGAGTTCTGGGGTGAGTGTGTGCTTACGACAGGCTATATTATAAATCGAACACCATCTCAGGTCCTTAATGGAAAGACGCCTTTTGAACTTCTTTACGATCGACCTTCGGAGTTCACACACCTACGAGTATTTGGATGCTTGTGCTATGCACATAACATCAATCATCATGGAGACAAATTTGAAAGTCGAAGCAGAAAGTGTCTCTTTATTGGTTATCCATACCATACGGGAAGAAAGGGTGGCGTCTTTACGACTTGGAGAACGAAACTTTCTTTGTTTCCCGCGACGTGGTATTTTGTGAAACAGAGTTTCCCTACTCTGCTGTCACAGCTTCTTCGGTTCCCGATCAGGTCTCTTCACCAGTCATTAATCCTTACTGTTATGATGATGACTTTGATCAGGTTTCTGATATTTCGTCTGAAACCTTACCCACGACACCTGCAGTTAAACAAGTTCATGCACCCGTCGGAGATGCCTCAGATTCAGGTGAAATCGCCCCTGATCCTGTTCCTCTAATCTCCGCTGATTCAAGTCCTGTCCCAGCTGTTGATGACGATTCTTTTGTTGATCAGCCTGAGCCCGA